CATAGTGTCATGCAGTTATTGGCTGTGGGCAACTCACCACCTGTTACATGCACTTAATGTATACACGACCCGACACGTACATGCATGTACATGAACATATGAAACGACCTTACCAACCAATACAGCGACTGTAATGTCCAGTCGTAAAAAGTTGAATGATAATTAGTTTGTTGTGTTACATTATGAGAAAAGAGACGTGTAATTGTTCATTTAACAAATAAGAAACTATTTGATGTCACACATAATTCTGTATAATTGCTAAAACGGTTGCATGGTAGAAAAACAACAAAGGTGTTAAATATCAAACATGGTTAAATAATTTCCATGAAAAAAATTGATTGGTCTTAATGGAGGATATTTGCATCATGATAAACCAGGACATCTCATTTCTTCTCAGCCCTGAGATGTTTCAGGTGAAACAGAAAGATGCTATGAGTATCAGAATGGGATATTTTAATCAAACAAGAAATCATAACAAATTGCTATATCATTCATTGTATAATTAAGAATTAATTAAGAATCTGTATCAGTACATCTCTCCCAATATTTGGTCTCTAAAGAGTAAGGCTCTCAGGCTACAGGAATGTCTACCCAAACTCAATTGTACAGTACATACTTATCACCACCTCTTGACCAATCAGATTTGAGTATTAAGACAAAGGTGCTATAACGATTTATTCTGTTCTCTTCTTTTTATTTCCTAATTTTGTTCGTCTCCTTAATTGAAAATGTTAACCAACTGATTAAAGTGTGAAAAATGGTGAAAAAGTAATATCACGGAACTAGTAAGTGCAAAGTCATAAATGTACATCCTGTTAAAAAATTGGTTGCCATTAGTAAAGATATCTTTCTCCCATACACGGTCATTTCTTATGGAATATGGTATAGACCCCAATAGCTTAATAAAATAATAAAACATGGACTGAGTTTCGAAGACATTCTAGACATGCATTGAATATCAAAGCACAATAATACACTCTTTTAATGTGATTACTCGAATGTGAGGGATTTAATTTCCCTCGACTAGCCACTCTGAAATGTGAATATTGCTTTTGCGCCGTTAAAACAACAGTATTATTTCATATGAAGGCATTTAGGTAATCAATAGGAGCTATTGATTAGAGCGTTCATTATCATGCACACAGCTAATAACTCAAGCCAGAACATGCGCTGCATGACAATACTGTAGACTTAGTAGCAACATATTAATGCATTTTTCGTGACATGCGTTTGTTGTAGCAAGCTGAGCATTAAACACTAAAGGGTTTTTATGATAGATTTTCCAATCATACCATAGCGATGCATGTTATATCACACAACTTAGATCTAACATTGATTTTCTAAAAAGCGTGATTTTCTCGTTTGTAATTTACCATATTCTCAGTAGAGAGAGCAGGCATATGGAATACTGTCATTAATAGAAATTCTTGGTTACACTAAACCTTAAATAGTCGAACACTGCAATGATAGTAACTGTGAAGAAATGTGAACACTTACATGTTTAGATCATAGTAATTATGTAAACACTCTAATAATATATGAACACCTTAGAATGAACTTACAATCTAGTTAAATCACTTTCATATAAGTACTTTGATAATAAGAACTATGATATGTGAAGACCTCATGATAATATGAAAACTTGATAAAAATGTGAACAATCAATAAAGCGAAATAAAATGCAATAATATTAATTTGAAAAATATATATATTAATTTGAACTTTAATCTCCAATAGGTGTTGGTAAAATGATATTGTTGTCCCCTCCCCCTCCAACCAACAATTGGTTATCCCCCCCCCGGGTATTTCCCCTGGACAGTTATATGTAGGGGTGTAGCTAGTCTTAACACAAGGACTAAATGTTTTACTGTATAAGTGCATGTAGGAAATTATTACTGCATTATATTTCATCACATTGATATAGATCTTTTCATTTAACATTCAAATACACATATATCAGTTTGACAAGTCTATTTAGTATTATTTGCATATTCCTACTATCTGTACATGTATTAAATCTTATATTCTTTCACTTTAACATATCGCTATCTCAATTAATCATGACACAGTAAGTCATTTTGCGTTACATCATTAATGCGACATATTATAAAGACCATATCGGTGAATTTGGTGTATTTCCAGAAAAATCAATGGTCATCATTATAAAAAGTGATTTAGAAAGATAAGTACATGTTTCACGAGAACTGCAGCATGTTGCTTGCATGTAAACAACTGAACGAGACAGTAATCTAAAAGATCTATTATCTGTCACATAATTTGTCTTTGAAAAGGTTCTCATGTTAGAATTGTCGGCACTCTGCCCCTGCAGTATCATTTCTAAACCTAATGTTCAGTGACCAATAATAATATTTATTTAAGGTCCCATGATACAACATGTGCAAAACACTCATATCTATGAATTCCCAAATCAACGGTTCAACTTTGGAAATAATGAAACATTCTTGGTCATTTCATATTGACATTGCTGTGTCTATTCTTGAATTTTGACATAATTTGAGAAAAGAATGACATTTTTAGAGAAATAGACCAATCTATAACTATATTGCAAGATAAGTCAATTATGTTATTTTGTTTCAGTCTTGTTTATTTCATATTTTTTATTACTGACTTATTTTTAAAGCTTACTTCCTGACTTACACATGTAGCTCCACGCCATACTACATTAAAACGAAATGAGAGACTGTAACACTCTGGAATTAAATATGACCAGTTTGTTTGCATCATTGGCGCAATCAGGTGTCACACTCTGTTCTATTTGCACCCTGTCAAAAGGGTGAAATACTGACCAAGCAGGTAAAGTTTGAATTAGCACCTTATTAAGAAAAACATGGAGGGATCACTAATATAATAATAATAATTATTTTTATGTACAATATCTCACCTGTTCATACTTATTGCTTATGTGTCATATATAATATAAATATAATAAAATAATGATTAATAATATAATATAAACATATTTATATAAATATGCAATCTAAATAATGTATAAATACTACATACATGTATGATAATACATGTATATGGAGGTTAATATATACTTGTGCAAGATCGTCCATTCTTGATGGGGTTTAGAAGAACAATTATCAAAGCTCATCAATACTTCCATGCAAGAACCTCTATATGTAACATCCAGGTGACTAGTACTTTCATCAAAATAATATACAAACAACATAAAATTAATTTTTCATGGAGCTGATGTAGTAAGCAACATTTTCGATATTTGTTTCAATTTCAAAATTTCCAGACAGATTCTTAAAGGGAGGATCAGATGAGTAAACTTAACAAAAATTATTTCAATTTTAGAATATTTTTGTCTCAGATCATTCCTTGTCATCTCTATTTTCTAAAAATCCCTAAATGCATACTTTATTTCAGGAAAATTAAAGATTTTTATAAAAATCTAATATTTTTCTTTAATCAAAAATTATCTATTATTTGGGACAATTTGAATATTTCCCCAAAATTATGCACTTTGAATCCTTAATAACTTCCCCGATTTTTTACATATTGTGGACCTTTTAGGAGATTGTATTTGAGATCATAAGAAAGAGATTGATTAGTCATTTGTACATGCTGCTTACAATTGTGTCCCCTCCTATAGATCTAATTCTGCCTTTAACTACAAATGTATACAACTCATAAGTGTACCCAAATTATTCCATCTTGTATATTGATCCATGTTGACACAAAATTACATTACATTTAATCATATCCTAATATCATTTAGTACAATCCTTAGTTTATCAAACTGTCAATTACTTTATTTCTTATTTCATATAAAATGTTTCAATTTTTTAGTTTTTCATAATGTTTATGTTTAAAACTTTAAATGTGCACTAGACTTTTAAAAAAATGTTTAAAATCATTTGAAGTATTTTTAAATCTGCAATTTATTTTAATGTTTACATCTACAACATATAGAAATACATGTACCTTTTTTGGAGGGATGGGTGACCAAAGAGGAGCCCTTTGTATAAGTCTCATTTATTCACAAACTGTTTGGAAAACTGGCAAATTCCTTTATAATCCCAAATTAAAAAAATGAATCCGAAATCTAATTTGAAACTATACTTAATTAAATGGATGGGTAGATAATTTAAAAAATATTTATATAGCAATCATCATTTCCACACTAAAACCTCAATAAAAAGCCAGAAACCACAGCTTCATCAAGTAGTCACACAGATTTCTCATTATATTACGCAGATGCCTATGTGCATGGTAACATGATTTCAGTTCCCAGTTACACACACATATACAAACACATCATGAATACAATCGCCCATGGAACATTATTACTTCTTAAGGGGAATCTCGTCTATGTAAGAGAATCATAACTATAGAAATCAATGGAATAACTGTATACCGAACATGTATTCATTGGCTTTAACATCCAGTGGATTATTGGAAAGGCCCTGTATACTGATTGTAGAGACCGCATCCTAATACATGCAGCATTTGCAATGCATGCTAGTGAGTCTGGCTGTATAAATATCTAACAGGCAAATCACCAGATTGCTCTAGTAAGAGATATACAATTACAAGCATGCAGCATTGAACAGGCAGCTCTAACCTAATCTTGTTTATTTTGTATTCTGCACATGCTGATACGTGCCAAAAGTGCATCGCCCAGTAATCAGCGTTGCTAAAAATAAACAGCTAATTCACTACAGGCAAGCATTCCCTGTGCATTCTCACAAGAGCTTTATCAATTTTAACACTGTGTTACTGTTCGACTGAGATGGAATTGTTGCATATGGTGAATAAGACAATCTACCTCAGTTGGCTATCACTTGTCTTTGTAAGCCAGATTCAAACTCTGTTTATAATGCTTAATCATAGTTAATCATATGCACGATATATTGAGCATGTTTGCATGCATGAACCATTACAATGTAAAATCAATCATTTCCACTAGAAAGTCAATATTTCTATAGGATTGAATGGGAATAAAAAGAAGTCCAAGTTATACTCACTCAAGTAATGATGAGGCTTTAATTGTTTTCGCCTCGACATCTTTATATATTTTGGCACATCACTGTAATAGAGAGGTCTTCTTTTACTCGCTACATCATGGCAAATTCACGCAGTTTGTGTGGAGCAGAACTTTTCTCCTTCCTGCTTCCTCCATCATAGCGCAAGGACTTCTGGGATCGCCACATTGTACTTCCGGAAAGAAATTTTCAAAAGTTGCATCATATTTCACACAAAAACACCAAAAATACAGTGCAAATCGGACCGTATAAGCAAACCGGAGATGAGTGAAGTATCAGGGAAGACAGAGATGGTTACAGGGTAAGAATTTGTTTCGTAGTATTGTTAAATTTGTCACTTGGACATATCGCGAGTTTGGCAGTGGGCGATAATAGAGTTGAGATTTTAAGTTTATATAGTTTTTACTGTTTAGCATAGTCTGTTTCTTTGTCTAATATTTGAAGTTCTCGGAGGTACTAGTTTTGGCATATGGAATTAAAGTCCATCGTATGGTCATATTTGATTTGGTACTTGTAGACTACCAGATCATGGGTAATCTGACCTCGCTTGACCACCCTTTTAGTCTTTACAATTACATTCTATAGATCTATAATATAAATAGGCTCGGTTCTGAAAAGCACATTGTGTTGTGGTACACATGGAGAATAAAATTTAATTGAGATATTATTGAACAAATATATGCTCAAACCATGTTGTCTTCCTCACAATTTCCTTGATAACTTTGAATCTATTAAAAAAATAAGTGATAAATGAAAACGCTACATATGTTCTAGTCCAACAACATTAGACCTAGCCCGGGCCTCGTTTCTTATCTGACATGTGTTATGTCAATAAAGATGACAGAGTTCTGGTTTGACCTCTAGTCAATTTAACTATTTCCACATATCATTTACATGACCAATATCACAATGTGCATGGTCAGAATGACCCTAAACATGATGAAATAACCTTTTTAGCCCTTTGAAAGTGTGACTGAAAAAAAGCTAAAAGTAGGAGCGTAGGGATAGTCACTGAACAGAATCTTTTGAATTTTTCAGAAAATGTGCCCAATATAATGCTCTAACTAGTACAATCTTTGAAATTTTAGAAAATTGTCTTAAACAAAAATGGCGGTCATAAAAAGGAAAATAGATCGCTTTTTAAATCAGTTTTTTCATTTTTTTTCTTTTTCTATGAATGAGATCAAATTTTCAAAGATTGTATCAAAAGTTAGGACAGGCATATATGATTCTATTTTTCCATATACTGTTGCAATGTGGTTCTTTCTTATTAGATTCAAAAATGTTTAAGAAATTGTGAGGAAGGCTGCTGATTCATCTTCAAAAATATATTCACAAAACCTTTTAAGTTTTTAACATACATAAGGTCTCGGAGTAGTTATCAGAGAAATTTACACCAAATAGCAGAACTCAGTTAACTTAGTTCAAAATATTCTAAAATCCTCATGTTTTTTTTCATTTCCTGTTTGGTGTAGCCCATGGTGTAAATTTCTGATAACTACCTCGAGTATCTAACATACAATATATGAACCTGATATATATGAAATGAAAAAAACAAATGGTGTGTAGTTATATTCTTTGTTCCTACATTTTCAAAAATTCAAATCAACAAGTTCATCATTAAGTTTATTATGTATTTCATCATTTTCTTTATCAAAGGGCAGTTAAGGACAAACATAATACAGTAGAACCTGTCTGATTTGAAGACTGCGGGAGCATGCAGTTAAAAGGGAAATCAGATTGAGGGGTGTTCACTTCTTTATTTAGGATATTCTAATTAGAAAGGAGTAATGCTTTATCTCAAAAATGGAACTGAAAATGTCTTCAGTTTCTGTAGAGTTCAGTGAAGAGAGATGTTCATACATACATGTTTTATAGTACTGTACATATAATAGGCCCTTTTGAAAATTTTGTTTTCATGCCAAAAAATTATGGAATTTTGTCAATATTTATAGGTTATTAGCCATGTTCATGTCCCTTTCAAAATATTATAAATGCTATTCTAAAATGAAACTTTGCATGATAAAGTATTGGTGTTTTTATGTACTTATAGTATCAGTAACTTAGATGCTAGAAGGTAGTTACCAGCTTCACCACCATGAGGTCTATGGAATTTTCAATTAAACTTTCAAAGTTTATAATCAGTGTTAGAAACCACATTTCTGGAAGTAATTTTTCATGTAGATTTCAAATCTCACTTTAACTGAATTTTGAATATTTAATGATGTAAATCAAGATTATTTCTTCTTGCATCAAGTCTAATACTGACATATTTCAACCACCTGCTGTAGTTGTATTGATCATATTACTTGACCACAAGCTCCTATTTCAAAACTGATTTTTTACAATGTATGATGATTTGCTACATATTATTTGTCAATATTTTTCAATGAAACTTCAAAAGTTTCAAAATTTAGAAAAGAGTCAAAAAGCATTCAAACAATGCTGGGTTCAAAAATTGCTGCTCCAAAAGTTAAACCTTGAATTAATATAGTGCTAATGTTTTTACCAAGTATAATCAACAAATGGTATACTTTCTGAAATTACCACAAGTTTGATTGCAGGCCTGTAGCCAGCTTGTGCCAAGGAAGAGGGCAGTTTTTACTAAAAATTCCAGGGGATTCAATTTTTTTCAATTGTGGCCCAAATCACTTTAAAGTGCGAAAAATGGTGATTAACTACATGATTTCGAAAGTTTTTGGAATTTTTGTTTGAACCTCTTTGGTATGTGCCTGAATTGCTTTAGTGGTCTACCCCATCCGAACCGCAACAAAAAAAGAAAAAAGCAATTTTCTATTGAAAACATTAACAAATTATAGTTCGAAATGCACCATATACAATGTAAATTTTAAAATAATCCCCCCTATGGCCTATACCCTCTTTTTGGGGATTGTATTGCTCGCAGTTATGCAAACCTAAAAAATAGCACACATCCCTCTTTAACAATTGCATGCCTAACCATCGACAACATACAGTGACAAAACACACCATCGCTTCCAGCCTCTTTGGTTGTTTTATCTTTGTTGGTTACCTTACGTTTTGTTAGTTATATTGATAGATAGATCTATACTAGCTTATTGAATATGACATTTTAAAATCCCGTTTATGATATATCTGGAAAGGGCGCAATAGTTTCAATAGTTGAATCAAATTGAAGTAATTCTGTTTCAATTTTATTTGCATCTGACCCCCCTGTCTGATAGTGTTATGAAAAATATGTTGCCTGCAGGGTTAACTGTGGATTGAGTAAGTTCAATGGGACAATGTACATTCGAGTTGACAACGTACACTTATGATTTTTTATATTATAGCCAAAACATTAATGCTTGTTAAGTCTTCAACAGACCTTAACTGTATAGTTTAAAGAAACATATTCTCATAAAAAATATTTGACACTCTTAGACGACAGGGCCGGGAGGAAATGATCAAAGGAAATGTGTTAAAGCTAATGTTATTAAGTTAACAAAGGCATACTTTTGTATTTATATCAATATCAAGGAAATTTAAATAAATAAATTGAAAAAAAAAAGGAATGTGTAAAAACAACATTTTCCAACTGACCAATTATATGGGTAGATTGACTACAAAAAGAATGGCACTGTTTGAAAATCTTTTAACGTTATTAGAAAGTTAAATGTATTCCCAAACGAATGCACACAAAATTAAACATGAAAATTAATGTATTCCTCAGATTATTTTTTTAAAACCTACAACAAACCTACATTATTGTCTTTGCTTCAAATTGGTTAAATAGTGACACCTTACATCTAAAATGTACAACGGTATACTTTGTCACTGTACATTGTCAATGGTTAGGCGTGAATTGCAGACAAGCCCCTGTTTTTTGTCCATTTATTGAAAGTTATCGTCTTTAACAATTCATAGTAAAGCTAAGATCTGAATATCTTACTTTTTATTAAGGGTTTACTATTGTTTTCCAATATTTTACTATATTGCCCTTCAAAATGACGTTATTGTACTATTACCATGTTCATATGTAATCATTACAGTCCTGATGGCCAACCCATCTCTAAGAAAGGACTTAAAAAGCAGCAAAAGGAAGCAGAAAAGGCTGCCAAGAAGGCTCAAAGAAAGCAAGAAGTTGTAAGTGCATCTGAATTTGAGTCTCATTTTTGTATAATGGTATCTTAAATCACTTCAAATAGCACGATGTGATGTATGCTGTCAAATAATGCATCTACATGTATTATCAGAGGCAATGAACCCGTAAGTCTATCAAACCTAAACAATAAGCTATCAAAGGAACACATTAATATAATAAGTAATATTATGTGGAACAAAACATTATATTTTAGATGCAAAATGTTTCTATTTTTTGGATTACTTTTGATTTGGCAAACAAATATGTGTTTTCTTGTATTTTGATGCTTCTCTGACTTGTTATTTTGGCTGAATATCCCTGAATTTCAAAAGGCAACAGACTTACTGTACATGGTTTATCTGAAATATACAAAAGTTCACATCTAAAATATGAATTCTGATGTTCTAAATTTTGAATGTCATTCTGATGTGAGATTCTTTTAATACAGCAAATGAAATTTTCTTACTTTATTTAATGTCATGGCCTGTAGAGAAAAAAATCAATTTTTTTTTACTTTTCTGAGCTATCAAGCCAACATTTTGCTTAACATCTTCTTTGACATACATATTTTCTTTAAATGTATGGATAAACTATCAATTTCAGCATTAGCAAGTGTAAATTCAGTTCAAAGCTTCTTTAGGGGGAGTCCAACTTATAGATTTTTAAGATGCACCATGTTTCAAGAGGAATATCGGCTGAAATAATATTCATCCAGGGGGTTTCTTTGGAAATAATAAAAGTATATGTTACTCTTGAAGAAATAACCAAACTTAGATATGTTTTGACAATGTTCCATGATCGTTGAATGGCCCCTCTGCACTCATTGTTGCACCTTTAAGTTGGGAGGATAACATGATTAAAACTTGTATTGTATTAGGTTTACTTCACAGATGATGTCAATGCATTTCTAGGGCTGATTTAATACAATGGCTTATTAATCACAATTTGTCCTGTTACTTAAAGGCGGCAGCCGAAAGTGCAGCAGGTGGGGACCAAGAGGATTTTGCTAAAGATCGTTATGGAATTATGAAAATGATCCAGTCAAGGGATCGACCAGATCGAGTGATTACTCGAGTGAATGGCCTGACCCCAGCCATTGCTGATGAGAAGGTGTGGGTGAGGGGACGTTTACACACAAGCAGAAGTAAAGGTAACGTCCATTGTATGATGATGCAATGAAGTCTGGCTGATATATCATTTTAGAGTTTCCTTTTGGAGATGAGTGGTCAAGGGTCATTTTGTCTGATATTACTGATTTTTGGCAGCATGAAGGAGTAAATGACATGAGCATATGTTAAGTCAATTGATAAGTCAGATAATGCAGAAGAAAACTATTACCAAATATCCATTAGGAACATGTATAAAAAAGTATAAAAATGATCCTTTATAATAATGTGCTCTTCTAGGGTTGTTCTAAGTAAGTAACATTTTATGATTAATCATTTTGTTATGTCACCACCTCTAGTGGTGACATGTTGTTGTAGTCTCCAACTTTTTTGTTGATGGTGTTTAGTGGTTGGTGTTTAGCAGTTGGCGATTGATGTTCTGCAGTGAACATCTGTAACAAATGTCAGGTGGTGAGATTTTGCATGTTAATGCCTTGTAATTCAGTTGTTCTGAATCATCCCCTGTAGCTATATAGAGATCTATAGTTTAGTGTACACAGTTGGATAATACTATCTCATATTTTCAGGAAAACAATGTTTCATAGTGTTGCGTCAACAGAATTACAGTGTACAAGGTCTCATAATGGTGAACGAACAAGTTAGCAAGCAGATGGTGAAATTCTCCGCAAAGTAAGTTATTTGGGAATCTTACACTGCCATTCATGTTGACAAATGTCAGTGAAGGAAATGAAGGAAATATTAAATCATAAAAACATTGAAAGTAGTAGAATTTGATAAAAACCACAGTATTTCTTTTGAATGCTCGTAATCAAACGTCAATAGAGAGTTTGTTGAAAAGAAATAGTAAATACAGTTGGTTATATACTGTATGTCCATTGTCCAAATAGTCTAAACATGTTTAAAAACTCCCTAGTGAACTTTTAGACAAGCATTACCCACTTATAAAATCCATGGGTTCATCATTGAAAAAAACATCATTGAAATTATATCAATATTTGAAGTAACTAGTTATGTATTGTAACTTTCTCTTATATTAATGATTATTTGATTCTAGCATCACCAAGGAGTCCATTATTGATGTGGAAGGTTTTGTAAGGAAAGTGGACCAAAAGATAGAAAGCTGCACTCAGCAAGATGTAGAATTACACATTGATCAGGTAAGAATATTTGAACTGCATTCAACAAAAATACTTAGCCTTATATTGGTCAAGTAACACACACACTGGGTATAAGTAAGAAAATGTGAGCTCTGAGTGTGCTTTCCCCACGTTGAAATCGCTTTAGCACATCACCTCTAATTAATTTATTACACAAAAATGCCCCTACCAAAATCCAATATGTCTCCAGAAATCTTGTACTAGAAATTACTTAAACGTAAAATGTTGCACAAAAGCTTAAAATGTTGAACTAAAAATTTACAAAATTCTAAAAAATAGATTTTCCACTTGATGAATGATTCAAATGATTGTCAACAGTTATCAATCATCAATATTTGGATGAGGAAATAATGAAAGCATATGGGTAGTATCTTCTGAATGTGCCACCATAATATTATTAAATAATATATAATTAATACCCTTGATCTAATACATATGCTACATGTATATATGATTGCACTATATGAGTGTGTGTTTGTTGATCTGCAGGTCTTTGTTGTGAGTTCTGCTGAGCCACGTCTTCCACTGCAGATAGAAGATGCCACCAGAGCAGAATCAGAACAAGATGTAGGTACCATATACAACACCTGAACAACTGATACAGTGTATGCCATCTTTTGAACGTTCAAGTTACCACTTTAAACCATGATCCGAAATAGCATTAATCCAAGAATTAAATACATCTTCGGACAATAGTGGTCCAGGTATGGTTCATTCTTTTGAAGGAACAAAGTGGATGTGTCTGGACCCCATCCTTAATTCAAGGTTATTTCAATTCTTTCCATAGCTGCGATGGAAGTGAATCCCGATCTTGTATGTTTTGGGTAGATGTCTTTAAAGTAGTGTATTGTGACTTTTTACCACAGGAGATGTTTAAAGGGGAAAAATAACATTGCAAAAGTTATGAGTGGATTGTAATTGGCTCTACTCTAATTGGGCAAAAATATAAATAACTGAATGATTGTGGCTTCTTTTGGTTTGGTAGATATGCACCAGGGTATACATAATCAGGATTAAATTTCTCATTCAATCTTTTGAAGACAACTGATTTAGAATTGTCCTATTTCTTACTACAAAAAATAACATGCAACAATTTTGTAAGTCAGATTTCATATGTGGTTTATTATATAAAAGGGTTTGATAGAATGAACATTACCATTCTAAGTTTAAAGTAGGAAGAGACGAATGACTTTTAAACATGTTATTGCATCATGTCAGCATGTAAGCTTATGTTTAAATGGTCCAAGTTGATTTGCTCATTCTACCTTAAGCATCGATTCATTTTCTTTTGATTCATTTTCTCTCAAATATTGATTGATCAATTCATGTAGTGACATCTATACTTCATAGTGTAAAATATGTTCATGTTTTGTGTGTTCTAATGAGGTCCTATACAATCCTCGTCTCAATTACGTTTAAGTTGGCACAAGTAGAATAAGTTATCTGTTAATAAATCATCATGATATATGTTTTATATTATTTCTCTCAGTTTCTCATGAATTAAGAAGATTTCAAACGACCTTATTTTTCATGTCTCAGCGTTAGTAATTCCCTGACCATTAGCCAACACATCTCCAACAAATGCAAGGTCGTGACTTTCTGCATGTTATTATTTTTCCACTATCATAGAGACAGGGTAGACTAAAGTTCATTTGTTTGTTTAAATATTTACATGTACATATACATTATTTATCAAGCAGCATACATAACGAATGGGACAATATAGCAAATTATGTATATTTCATAAATACTTTTGGGAGTCACATGAAAATAGGGTCCGAGCGATTTTCTCTGTCATTATCATGTGGTATGCGTATCTCAAATAATTTGTGTTCTGTTTCTTATTGCAAGGGACTAGCTACAGTTAACCAAGATACCAGGTTAGACAACAGAGTGATTGATCTCAGAACTATAACAAACCAAGCTATATTCCGTGTAGAGGCAGGCATCTGTAGGCTCTTCCGTGATACGCTCACTGCAAAAGGATTCACTGAGATTCACACACCAAAAATCATTTCCGGTGAGTTGGATGCATGGGTTGTTTGAGATAGATAGTCATGACAAAATAGATTCAAAGTATTGCTAAATATGGAAAGAATATACATGTGTAGAATGTATATGTACCATACCAAAAGAGAAATCATATGGCAAGGAATATCCCTTAAACCTTTCTGAACTTGTCCATGTTGACATTTTGCAAATATGTAATAACATAAAGGCGAATTTTTTATTATACATCTGTTTACTATTGAGACATCCAACAAGAGGCCAACACATTAAAGATGTACTCATTTAAATCATCTAAAATCTTATATATTTATTGATTTTATTTATAAATGTCAATTGTTAGTCTTTCATGGAGGAGAATGAGTTAAAGATTTTTGTGGCATGTCATGTTTTGTCTAAATGTATAAAATCAATATTTCAGCTGCATCGGAAGGTGGAGCCAATGTGTTTGAGGTGTCCTATTTCAAGCGTTCTGCCTACTTAGCCCAATCTCCACAGCTCTACAAACAGATGGCGATCGCATCTGACTTTGAGAAAGTTTTCACCACTGGTGCAGGTACAGTATACTGTTATACCTGTTTATTCCGAATACCAATGGAACCAGCCATAAGTGTTCGGATTGGCAGGTGTTCACATTTCTAGGTTTTTAACATGGTACATGGGTAATCTATAGCAGATTAAAAAATGGGGCCAAAAGGTGTTCACATTGAGAGGTATTCAGGGTAGAGATGTGTTTGGATGTTCACATTTTACTGTTTTAAAATGATATCTGATAATGGTGATGATAATTACCATTTTATAGCTAATATCACGGCTAATATACATGTAGATTAGAAAAGGGGAACACTTTTGATGTACCAAAGGTGTTCCACTTATTGAACAGGTTTTACTGAACATGGTTAGGTTTAAGATGTCTTTTTAATGATAAAGTGCACTTCATATTATCTGAAAAGTATATAAATAATCATTCCCTAAATGGAAAAGAACATTGTAAATATCAGCCAGGCCCACAGTATGATCCAAGTTTTTCTGTTGCAGTTTTCAGGGCGGAGGACTCCAACACTCATCGTCACTTGACAGAGTTTGTCGGCCTTGATCTTGAGATGACGTTCAATTACCACTATCACGAAGTATTAGACACCATTGGAGATCTGTTTGTGAACATATTCAAAGGACTGAGAGACAAGTATGTAAACCTCCAAACCGCACTCTATAATCATGGTACCGTTTTATACATAAGAGTGTACCATACGGTACTGTTTGAATATGATGCCGCATAGTGTTCACGGTACCGTACTGTACTGTTTTAGTCTAAAGTACTGTTCGATACCTTATTTTACGGTACTGTGCAGTACTGTAGCCAAAAGGGTACCATAGGGTACTCTTGGAGATTAGGTGTGTAGTAATTGATGGAACTACCTATGAGACCTAGATTATGATTTTGAAGACCCATTTTGCCTGCAATCAATCCAATGCATGATCAAATCATGACCTGATATGACTAGGACTGTATATGACTTTCTCAATTTGCTTACTTGAAATCTACCAATCAGAACGTTATTTTAAGTAAACAAATTAAATGTAGATGTAATGTTGGTTTGTTAAAATACTTGATTTTCATTTCTCCTGCCTCTTATGTATCTAACCCTCCACATATTTCAGCTTTGGTACAGAGATAGAGACAATCAGAAAGCAATATCCTTCAGAACCTTTCACATTCCTTGAACCAAGGTAAGTGGAACAGTTAGTTTCTAAATATATATTGTAGCTTAGATTACGTATAAATAGATGTCACTAAATGTCAATGTAATAAATGTAGTTAAATGATAACTAACAATTGATGAATAGATGTCACAAGATGTGAGCATGTCAGGAAGCACAGAATCTCATTCCCTTGTCATTAACTAATAGCTTTTTCACACAAATATATTCCCTAAGAAAATAAAATTGCATGTTGTCAAGATTGGATTCAAGATTTGTGTAGACTTAGAGCTTAAATATGCTGTGAGAAAGTAAGAGTTCAAAAGTATATGAATACAGTATTGCATATATCCATTATGTTGCAGTTTAAGGCTCGAGTACCCTGAAGCTGTAAAGATGTTACGAGAGAATGGTGTTGAGATGGGAGACGAGGAGGACTTGAGTACTCCAGCAGAGAAACTTCTTGGAAGGCTCGTCAAAGCCAAAGTAAAGGATTTTCTATATACAATATCCTACATTATAAAATGAATTCATTTTACAATTCAAACACTTTGATTAAAATAATTGGATCTTTTATATGCATCTTATGTTGTATTAACAGTAATATGTTTTTTTTCCAGTATGACACAGATTATTTTATACTGGATAAATTTCCACTGGCAATACGACCTTTCTACACAATGCCTGACCCTAATAACCAGGTAGGATGACATGATATTTGTAGTGACGTAATAATTTGAATTAAATGTATCTGGTAAAATTCTCATGATATAGAATCCTGTAAGGGATCAATGTAAAGGGACATTTCTCACTTTGAACAAACTTTTTAACTCAAATGGTCTGATGCGTGTTTATCTCAAATTTCACAACTGGGTGCAAATGTAATCCTAAAATTCTCAAATGAATGCTTTACTCAGCTGCTTCATGGTTGGGGAGAGCACAAAGCAGTGCATATATGAAATATAATGCATTCAAATTTTAGACGTTTGACACAAGACATGAATAATTCTTCAAAAATCTTCAAAATGTATAGCATTTTGTTTTGCATTAGACACTTCCCCCCCCCTTGAGGAAGAATATGTGCATGTTTATGCGCATGCTTCATCAATGGTATTCCTTAATATTTTAATCCTGTTTTATTGAAATGTTTTCCTATGAAAGGAAGAGGTTAGGACACCCTGATCTCTTTCTAATTTAGTTCTCTATTTTTTGATGTGAAATACAACTCGTGTTTTGTTTAATTTAGCCATATAGTTTTTCTCTATTTTTAGACAGACTATATAATAACAACTTACTTCCTCCTGTATAACTAATCTCAAAGCAAATACCTCATAATCTATGTTAATGCATAGAAGGTGGAACATTTAGAGATAAATGTTGATGATCTGTACTTTTAGAAAACATGCATGGAAAAATATTTATTTGTGGGGTATCAGTTTTTGAACTTTCAAGATACACGTACATACAAAGGATTTGTGTATTTTAAATAATCCACCTTCTTGTACTTTTCCTTATGCATACAGACAGAGGGAAATAACTCATACCTCAGATTTACAGATTACAAACTAATTTAAGGAGATTGATTTCTTTCTTATTTTTCACATACATAATGTAAATAGTCATCATGTACCATGTTTGTTTTAGAAATGGGGTAATTCCTATGACATGTTCATGCGTGGTGAGGAGATATTGTCTGGCGCACAACGTATTCATGATGCAGATTATCTCGTTGAGAGGGCTAAACTGCATGATATTGGTAGGCTACTTTTTAATTACCCCATGCAATCATTTCATCCACAAGGGGAGAGCACTTGTACTGAAAGGAGTGTTTTCAGTACATATTAAAGTTTAATATTTTTGAAATATGTATTTAAGTATATTCGTATACTGAAAAATGTACTGACTTTTTTTCCAGTTAAAATAATGTACTGAAAAATATAGTTGAGTTTTTCATGACCTTTTTATTTGCTGGGCTATTACCTTCTTGTTTTGTTGCTGTCTGTCTGTCCATCTGTTAATTTGTCCATCTGTCTGTCAACATATTTGTAGCTAATTCTCTACCACGATTGAAATGGTTTGACTTGTCATTGTTCCATATGTGGCGTCTCAAAAGCTTGCTTGTTTAGTATGACAGCCATTTTGTTGTGGAAATGAACTTGTGCATGAATTTGCAAAATGAATAAAAGTGATTATATTTTTCAGTATATTATTTTTACTTGATTTTGTAGTTGATTTTGATGATTGAGGTGTGATATTGGTCATTTCGTACCATATTAGGAATTTGTGTTTAACCAATGGAGATCCTACCTCAATCATGTTTGTTTAGTGTCTTGTTTGTATTAGCCTTATAATCATCCTAGCTAATGAACAGCTTAATTGCAACTTTCTCATTGAATTTTCCTCATATGAGATTACCTTACTAAAAATTATGCGAAATTCTTAAATAACAAGATATGTTTTTCTATATTTTGCCATCAGTTAGGAATATTGTTTCCATAATATATTTTATTTTTAGTCCACATTTATAACTAAAAGTTTAATCTAAGTTGCAAATGTTTATTCATAAACCATATTATATTGTATAAGTACTTTGTATAACTTATGTATTCATCATTATCCCATACAAAGAAATACTGATTGTCTGTTCATTTGTCTGTTTGGGTGATAACTCAAATATCTGTCAACAAATTTCTTTAAATACAACAGGCTGGTGCCCTCTGGTCATAGGACCTCAGTTTGAAATGGAAATTTCAATATGGCCATTCAATTCAATTTATTTTCTAAAATGCTGGTTGTCAAATTGAGCAAAGACCCTCTCCTTAAGGAGGAATTTCAAAGATAGCCACTGAATTCAAATCCTTTTTTTCCTCACACCTTTCATCATTTGTTCAAAATGCCTGCTCAAATGGAGTACCAGGTTATTTATATAATGAAATATTTAACATTAGGGAATGATTTGATTAAAGTCTTGTTCTGTGGAGTTGCTGTTTTTGTATTTCTGTTTTTATTGTGATTTTTAGATTTGGAAAAAGTGCGATCATACATTGATTCCTTCAAGTATGGCTGTCCTCCTCATGCTGGTGGGGGCATAGGTAAGTTGAATTATTATATCCTTATTAATGACCCAGATCTTTTTTTTAATAACCCAGATGCCAGCTATGTAGCAGTTTCACCACCAGGTGGCTAATCTGGGTCAGATAACATGGACGATAGAGTAGAAAGTTCCCTTAAACTTGAATATTCATCAGTTTTAGTAGACCAATTTTTATGTAATAACCCTTATGTATATGATAATGTCGTGTAAAAGAAATATTAGCTGTCCATTGTCCAACACAAGAAAATACATTTCAGTTTTCGTGATTTTATACCATGGGGTCTATGGGGAACCTATCCGACCTTGAAGTCACATTTTCAAAGAAAATTAAAATTTCAAAGTTGATAATAGTTATTTAAACCACATTTCTTGATGTCATTTTACATGTAAACTTCAAATATAATATCACCTTGACTTAATTTTGATTTTGATTTAAAATATTTAAAAATGTTTAAATATTTAATAACATACGTTACATCAAGGTAATTTCCACTTGCATCTTGTCTTTTGAGTAATTCATAATTATGGTCAGCATGGTGGAGTTATATATTAATTATAAAAATTTTCAAATAAATGTTTCATAATGGATCTTATATCTATTTAATTTGGTTTAATGTTTCATAATGGATCGTATATATTTAATTAGGTTTTCATTGGGTCACTGAGTAAACTATTACTGACAAAGTCAGAAGTTTGAATTCTGAAGGCAAGTGTTGAAATCTATTTAGATTTCATTCCGTGGCAGCCCTTGTTGTCATGACGCATCAGAATATTTTAAAGACCCTTAAAGATCATCTTCACTGCGTTTGACCAACGGGAGCTGAGTGAACGAAGATGCTTAAAGAAAAACAAAGCAAACAGGCTAAAAGATAGAAAATGAATGATGTAAATTATTCTGTTGGATCATGATTACTATTATTGAGTCAGAATGGCTTATTGAAACAGGTGCTTGTTGTATGTTGGGATCCACAATATTCCCATATTTTAATAAAACAAGCCATTAATCAGACATTATTGTTCAATATTTCACGAGATTAGCATATCCATGGGAATTATTGAATGCATGAAATTACTATTCATCTCACATGTCACAATAAGCATCTTAAGAAATTTGAATTATGTTCGTGTCAAATCTATAATAGGCTATAAAGCTATGTTTAAAACCAGAGACAGGTCTTCCAGGACATAAGGATTTTTTTAATCTTAAATCGTGATTAAATTGTACAGGAAGTTGTCCTTTATTTACATATTACTCAACCTGGATTAAAATTTTCTCAATGATATGTCTCGGCAATATGTCATATTTGTTAGAAGAATTGAACGACATGTACTATATGTCAACATACTTCTTAAAGATAAGTTCCAATCCTCTCTTAATCTATTATTCAATTTACACACAAGTTAATAGCAATAATAAATAACAAATAAATATTTGAATTTGATGAGTTATGGAATAGTTTATTAACACAAGTTGTTGGCATCTTAACATCCTAATCTGGTGGCATCTTATTTAATATTTTTCTATTTATAACTGTCATGTTTGAGACGCAAAATGGAGGAAAAAGAGTGAATTCAGCAAACTGAACAGTAAATACTAACTATAGTAGATACTAACTACAGTAAATACTAACTATAGTAAATACAAACTTTATCAACTACTTATTATAAGAAAACTTGAAGACAAAATGAAACAGACAAGACATATAGAGATAGATAAATATTCATGCTTCACAAATCAATAAATCATTGCAATGGGCTTGTTGATTTCTTTCAAAATACCTTTAGATTACCTTACGTCCATATTGGTAAAATACCACAAAATATTTCATTTCAAAAATTGCAATGGACTTGTTGATTTCTTTCAAAATACCTTTAGATTACCTTCAGTCCATATTGGTAAAATACCACAAAGTATTTCATTTCAAAGCTTCCATTGTAGTCAGAACCGACCAGACCGTTACAAATTGTTTTAATGAAATAATAATCCAGGAATAGACACAAAGGGAAATAATGCATTTTAATCTGGAGTTGCTAGAAAGTAGTGTGTCTTAATTTTCTTATTCAGAATCACTGTTGGTTCTAAAAAAATCTGAGGTCAACTACTCTCAGATTTTATGAGTTTTAGCTAAATTAAAAAATGTTCGTGGTCTGTCTCTGTCACTATCTGTTCGAAAATTTTCAAGAATTTTCTATCCAATTTGAAATAACAGTGTTAATGTTTATTTCCAGGCATGGAGAGAGTGGTGATGTTATATCTTGGACTGGACAATGTACGCAAGACTTCGATGTTCCCACGTGACCCCAAACGACTTACACCATAGGAAACTCCCTCATAAAGGCAATCATCACTCCTCTTCACATGAAGAGGACACCATTAACTCAGTTTTATATCTGGACTATGGCTCAATTTAGATTCATGTCAATATAAACTAATTCATGATAGTAATACATAAATCGAGAGTTCTGATCTTTTGAGAATTTTTTCTAATATTGTGATGGCATTTTATTTTGTAGCTAGCAAATTAATGTGAATTGTTTGTATTATAAGTTGTTTCATTGTGGGTGGAATGTAAATGACAAACTGCCTGGCATAAAATTGACGTCATTTAATAACTCTATTTCCTCTAATGAACTATTCAAGGCCATGATTCTTAAAAATACATTTTCAAAATCCATAGGGATGATCAGTTACAAATCTTTATTGCACAATCAGAGGAATATATTAGATTCTTTCACCTGAGTAATGTATCATCCATTAAATGAGGTGTGAATATGATTTCATTTTGTAAAGTGCTATGATGTCATATTGAAAAAGACTAAACATGGTTTTATGTCATGTAATTTTTGGGGGTCTTCATGAATATTTTTTTCATATTGTAGCCAGATGTCCTGTTTTGAAATAACCCATGGTGATATTCATTTTGATTACTCACCCCCAATGAAAATCTTGGATGATTAAATATAGTAAAGATAACATGTATTTAAATGAATTGTTGCAATCCGAGGATTTGCAAATGATTTTTCATTATGATGTCATAACACAATGACAAAAAATATATAACAACACCATTTATGTATAACCACAATAACTGAATTCTTATCACAAACTATGTTGTACCATATATAATATGGGAAGAAATGGAGATATGAGTACCATATGTAGCATACAATTCTTTCAGCTACCATTGTATATGAAAGTTATTTGTACAAGTAAAAGCAATATCAATGAGAATTGAAATAATTTTAAATAGAATATATATTTTTGAAAAGTTAGCTACACTATGTTAAACTGTATTATATGTTTTTCATACATATTGTATGTGATATTATAGGGTGATATTCAAAATATATGCATGCACAACTGTACATTAATAGCAACTTTACCAAGGAAACAACATCTGTAATAAAATTAGATAACATAAAACACAATGAGCACAAAATCCTACCAGATACTGTTTTTGTTGAATTAGAATAAGACTAAGCTTTAAAGATAAAGTGTAAATGGCAACAGGCGCCAGATTTAACATAAAGTGGTAATCACTTCAATGTGTATTTATTTTATTTTAACTCATATTAGATTTATTGAAAGATAATTATCCCATCGAACGAAGTTCGAGGGGGATATAGAGAAGCCGTCCGTCTGTCCGTCCGTCCGTCTGTCTGGGCGATAACTCCAATACCGGTTGAAGGATTTGGTTCAAATTTTATAGGCTTATGCCTTATGAGTGTAGGACCTCTGCTCGAGAAGGAAATATGGCTGCTCAATTCAAAATGGCCACCATTTTTCATAAAAAATGTAATCGTTGATAACTCAAATACAAGTTGACGGATTTGGTCCAAATTTCATATGCTGATGCCTAGGGACAAAGGAGTTTCGCACAAAAAGAGATTTTCAAGATGGCCACTTAATTTCAAAATGGCGGCCATTTTTTGTAAAAATATGTAATCTTTGATAACTCAAATACCAGTGAACGGATTTGGTTCAAATTGTATATGATGATGCTTAGGGACACAGTAGCTATGTTCAACAAAAAATTTTCAAGATGGCCGCTTAATTTCAAAATGGCGGCAATTTTTCGTAAAAAACGTAATCTTTGATTACTCAAATACCAGTGAACAGATTCGGCTGAAATTTTATATGATTATGCCTAGGGACACAGTAGCTCTGTTCAAGAAATAATTTTCAAGATGGCGGCTGAATTTTAAGATGGCGGCCAATTTTCGTAAAAAACGTAATCATTGATAACACATATAGCAGTGAACAGATTTGGTTCAAATTTTATATGATGATTCCTAGTTCACACAATGGTATAAACTAACTTTGTGCCAAACATGCTTCTATCACAAAGTGCACAAACATTTCATCATTTACACTAGCTATAATAAGCATAATATGTTTTGTTCGGTGGGATTTGCTTCTCCGTGGAGTTGCTGTTTTTCTAGTTTGAATGTTGTCATGCCAATACCAAGAATTGTAACCACCAAGAAATGATGACATATTGATAATGCCACAATTGTATGTTCAGTGTCTGTAACAAATGGTTACATTTTATGTCACCATTAGAATTGGTGACATGTTGTTATAGTCTCCAACTTTTTGTGGTTATGTGACTATTGTTCAGCATCTGACGTCTGTAACTCTGCATCTGTAACAAATGGCAAGTGGTGGCAGCTGGCATGTTAATGCCATGTTGTATTTGCAACCATGTGCTAACATCTTGTAATGTTAATACCTCGTTTTATATATCGTGATATTATTCACAGTCACTAGAAGCAGTTTAAGGAAATGACAAAATGTGTCTGCTCTAATGAAATTTTTCTTCATCTTTACTATTCAATTTCATAATAATCACCATTGGATTAGAATGTAGATAGCTTTACTGAATTTGATCCTGTATATGTTGTGAGTACAATACTTGTATCTCCTTGGTTTTAATACAAACTTTGGCTCGGCTATTTAGGTTCTCTTTGCCTATTCTTAGATCAAGGTATCGCCTTGCCCATCAAACAAAGTTAAGAGATAATGACTTTCTCAACTTGTTCAGAATATTTCCCAACTACAACTTTAATATAGAAAGTTTGATATTGAAACTTTATTTTTTGAAGCAAAGATGTTTTTAGGCATTGAATCTTTTATGTTGTGTTGAAACTTAACAAAATAGTGGTTCTCCATTTTTAGAAAAAATGATAAGAAAGCAAACCACAATAGATTAATCAGATATTATCAATGAGTTTAATATCCATTTAATGTTGATGCAATAAATACTGGAAAAAAATATCCAGGGTATTGACAAAGAATAGGTTAATGACAAACAAATAAGATTATATCTTTGATTGTGAGTATTTTCTGTCCACGATACGGAAGTATTTGCAATTATTAGTACGTTAATAGGAGTCTCTATGAAGAGGCAATCAACTCATCATCATACTATGCCCATGATGCCAATCTCATTTTCACTGTAAATGGAATCTTTTAAAATGCCCAATTGCACATTGATTCCATATTTGAAGTCTCTTGATCAATTCACTTTAAGAAACAAGGAAACCCAAAAAAGTTTCAACCCTCTTATTTTGGAATAACTCTAAATTATGGTGGAACCTTCTTGAAGTTTCTTGTGTATTTAGGATATTCAATGGGGCAAAAAGTGATCTGTTTATACAGTTATATTGTTTCTTTAAATTATTGATACAGAGAAATCAAATTTTCTGTAAAATTTTTCAAACATCCAATCCCAGAAATCTGTGTATGTCAGTTTTTTATAAAGAAGATAAGTCATTTATGTTTATTGACAAAGCTATTCCAAGAAAGTCCACTATAAATAGGAAATATCATTAATAATCATATTGATCTAGAAAGTAATAAAACATTGGTGAGGACGGAAATTCTAACATCAGAAAGTTTCATTTTTTAACATACATGTATTTGGAAAAATCTAACTTGAGAGCATTATATACGATTTGGTGCATAAAACTTCATATTTAACTTCAAATAAAATGAACTGGTTGCCCTCCATCATCAAAAGTTCCAGTGACATGTAGATACTTTTGTTGGAAATAATGGATGGATCAAAAAGACTTGTTTTCAAGGTTAGAAGAAATCCTTAATTCTCAAACTGTCTGAATAGTATGACATTTTATTCTAGTGTAATCAATCACTTTCAGTTAGCTAAATGGAAATCTCCATTGACATATACATATAGATGAATCAGTGCTTTTCCTTTCTTTATCCTTTATATCACACTTTTTCAAAGTGCTCTGTCATCATAACCTTGTTAGATTTAACATTTACTTGTCACTTGGGGTTTAGTTGACTTTATCTAGAAAGCTTTGAAATACTCGAACACTCTAAACACAGGCCTCCTAGACTTCCAACAACGCAAACATCAGTTCTGAGCTCATAACTACAGTATGTTCCTTGCACTCGAACCACGATTCTCAAGTTGCAAATGTGAAATCTTGCTCCCAAACATATTTCTCCACTCGCAAATAGAGATCCGTACATGAACATTAATATTATGACCCCCAGGGATTAATTAAAACTATTTGTCTTGTACCTTCATACTCTTTTTGGCAGGTAAATAATTGAAAGAGAAGACTGATCCCATTATTCTACATTCTCACATACAAGTTTTATTTAAAACATAGCTTAACCTCCCAATTCTTGCAAAAGTGTATATTATTTTGAGTATGGTAGGTCCCTTTCATATCTCCATTGTGTGAAACCATCAACTCTGATGTCCTAATTATGGCAAATATTGAGTTTGAATCTATAACAAGTTGACACTGTTATTTTAGCATTGTCATTGTTGCAGATTCTCCTTTCTTGTGTCAAATTATAGAGGAAGATAGAGATGTCCAATTGAATAGCAGTATGTATAACAAATTATGCTACATTTGACTCGAAGGTATGTTTTGTTGTTACTTCAATTTTGAAATTCATTTTCTCAAAAGTATATTTATTGTGTTTTATTAAGCTTATGTTGTATTTTAGAACTGCTGAACCTGGCATCTTAGCCCGCTTAGTTTTACTGCATTCTGTGACTGACTAGAGCCGAGTGAACCATGATCTTCGCCTGAGAATAGAGCGATGAGGTAAGAAAACAGAACATTTTTGGCATACTATTTTAAGAAAATACAATGGATGGGTATGAGAATGGTGGTAGTTAGAGCCAGAATACCAGTGGGCAGAGGATAGTTATGGCTCAGCTGTTGGGCACCAGGATTAACACTAAGTTTTTAATACCACCAGAAGTTGTGACGTATTGTTATAGTCTCAAGCTTTTTCTGAATGGTGTTTGGTGTTCAACAGTTGGTGTTCAGCATCTGTAACAAATGGCAGAGGTGAGATTTTGCAGGTTAATGCTTTGTTTATTATATACTCTTTTACGTACTTTACAGGTACTTTTCAACAGATTTGATGAAAAGACAGAGAAATAACTAAACAGAACAGAAATAACATAGAAAAAGCAGTAGCCATCTTAGCAATATACAAAGGTACATTAAGTTATATATTCAGTGGTCTTTTGATCTGCAGGGACATTGAGATCATCTAAGCAACTCTTTTTCTACCTTACACCATTCTCATTCATAGAATTAGTTTACTTTAAGTTTGCATCAAAACCTAATTTTATTATGTCACCACAATAAGTGGTGACATATTGTTATTGTCTCCAACTTTTGTGGATGATGTTTGGTGATTTGAATTTGGCATCTGTAACTGTTTGTAGATGGTGACATTTTGCATGTTGATGCCTTGCTATTATTGTATATACCCCCTATTGGATATTATTATTATATTAAAATGTATTTGTATTGTAACATAGATATTTTGCAAAAAAGAAGTATCCCTTT